CCATAACCCAACCTAGAAGAGTTGCCGCAATGAGTTTAGCAAAGCGCGTTGCTCAAGAAGTCGGAACAACAATTGGTTACAAAGTAAATTTAATTTAAATCTCTTTATTACTTTATTTATTCTGAATTTTTGGATTTATTTAGGTAGGATACTCTGTGAGATTCGACGATGTCACGTCTCGATCTACTCTTATAAAGTATTTGACTGATGGCATGTTATTACGTGAATTACTCACCGATCCTTTGCTGAAAAACTATTCTGTCGTGATTCTTGATGAAGCACATGAACGAACAGTTCGTACTGATATACTTTTTGGAATGGTGAAAAGAGCACAGATGATTAGGAGTAAGATGACCGATGATATCCAAAAAGGGATGTCATCATTGAAAATTATAATTATGAGTGCAACATTAGACGCGAAAAAATTTGCAAACTATTTTAATACGTAAGAAATTCAATGTGTTTTTGTGTTTTTAGGATTAAACTATCTTTAATGTCATCATTTAAATAATTATAGTTCCACTATATTATCCATACCTGGTCGTCAATTCCCTGTCACAGTGTATAATACCCTTGAGCCTCAAGCTGATTATTTGGATGCCGCATTAATAACAACTTTCCAAATTCACACCGAACAACCTCCGGGTGATATATTAATTTTCTTACCTGGTAAATAGTAAATTTTGAATTATTTGATGTCTGTTACGTTCTATATATATACATATATAAAAATCATTCATTTTCTCCATTGATCAGGACAAGAAGATATAGAAACACTCGAAAAGTTAATAAATGATTATGGTACTACACTATCATCTGATAAATTAAAGGTAAATAAACAACTTACCAATGAAAATATAATTATAATATTAATAAATAATTTTATTATAAATTCCAGATAATACCATGTCCATTATTTGCTGCGCTTCCATCCGAGCAGCAGGCCAAAGTATTTGATCCTGCACCACCTGACTCTCGGAAAGTTATATTAGCTACAAATATTGCAGAAACTTCAATTACTATCCGTGGCGTACGATATGTAGTTGATACTGGGAAATTTAAAATGCGGAAATTTAATTGGAAAATTGGCATGGAAAGTTTATCAATTCAAGATATTTCTAGAAACTCTGCTAATCAAAGAATGGGCCGGGCAGGGAGAGAGGTAATTCTTTAATCTATAAGAATTATTTGAATAAATCAAAATAAAACTTTCTTTGCGATTTAAGGCGGCTGGATTTTGTTACCGCTTATATACCGAAGAAGAATTTCAAAAGATGAAAGAAGATACAGTCCCAGAAATTAAGCGATGCAATCTTGCGTCAGTTATTTTATTGCTGAAAGCACTAGGGATTGATAATGTGCTTGATTTTGAATATCTTGATTGTCCACCAAGAAACTCATGTAAGCTATTGTTTTTGTAACAAATTCAAAAATATATTTTTTAG